ATGACCTTCTCCAGGGACTGATCCCTCCTGATAACATGTCCAAAGAATGTGAGACGAAGTCTTGTCGTCCTCAATTCTAAGGCGCATTCTGGCTGTACTTCTTCCAAGACAGATTTGTTTGTTCTTTTGGCAGTCCATGGTGTATTCAATATTCTTCGCCAACACCATAATTCAAAGGCATCAATTCTTCTTCGGTCTTCCTTATTCATTGCCCAGCTTCGCATGCATATGAGGCAACTGAAAACATCATGGCTTGAGTCAGGGCACCTTAGTCTTCAAAGTGACATCTTTGCTTTTTAACACTTTAAAGAGGTTTTTTGCAGCAGATTTGCCTAATGCAATGCATTGCTTGATTTCTTGACTGCTGCTTCCATGGGTGTTGATTATGGATCCAAGTAAAATGAAATCCTTGACAACTTTAATCATTTCTCTGTTTATCAAGATGTTGCTTATTGGTCCAGATGTGGGGATTTTTGTTTTCTTTATGTTGAGGCGTAATGCATACTAAAGGCTGTGGTCTTTGATCTTCATCAGTAAGTGCTTCAAGTCCTCTTCACTTTCAGCAAGCAAGGTTGTGTTACCTGCATAACACAGGTTGTTAATGAGTTTTCCTCCAATTCTGACAGCCCGTTCTTTTTCATATAGCCCAGCTTCTCGGATTATTTGCTCAGCATACAGCTTGAATAAACATGGTGAAAGGATACAACCCTTACATACACGTTTCCTGACTTTAAGCCACGCAGTATCCCCTCGTTCTGTTTGAATGACTGCCTCTTGATCTATGTACAGTTTCCTCATAAGCACAATTAAGGGTTCTGGAATTCCCATTCTTCGAAATGTTATCCATAATTTTCATAACAAAAATCCATATTACCAAGCAAAAATTTAAACAAACTCAATTAGTGAGCATACATTCCAATACTGAAAGCATATGCCATCAAAAAAAAAAAAAAAAAATCAAGGAGAAAAAATGTAGTAACAAAAGGGCTAATCTTAAGGTTCGGAGCCCTGGTGGTGCGCGGTTAAGTGCCCGGCTGCTAATCAGAAGGTTTGCAGTTCGAACCCACCCAGTGGGTCCATGAGAGAAAGACCTGGTAATCTGCTCCTGTAAAGATTACAGCCTAGAAAGCCCTATGGGGAAGTTCTACTCTGTTACATGAGGTTGCTATAAGTTGGAATCGACTTAACGGCACCTAACAACATTAAGGTATAGCTTGATGAATTTTTACCCATGTAATCACCACCCAGATTAGGATATAGACCTGTTCTAGCACCCTTGAAAAGTCCCTCTTGCTCCTTTCCCATCTCTACCACTCCCCCTGACCAAAACTCAATCAAAGCTCACTGCCATTAAGTAGACTCCAACTCAGAGCGACCCTATAGGACAGAGTAGTAGAACTGTCCCATGGGGTTTCCTAGGCTGTAAATCTTTATGGAAGCAGACTGCCACATCTTTCTCCCGCAGAGAAAACATGTTAACTCTCTCCCCTTCTCAACCTTGGGTTCCCCATTACCAGCTTTCCTGGTCCCCTCCTGCCTTCTTGTCTTTGCCCCTGGGTTGGTGTGCCCATTTAGTCTCATTTTGTTTTATGTGCCTATCTAATCTTTGGCTGAAGGGTGAACCTCAGGAGTGACTTCAGTACTGAGTTAAAAAGTTGTCTATAGGCCATACTCTCGGGGTTTCTCCAGTCTCCGTCAGACCAGTAAGTCTGGTCTTTTTGTGTGTGTGTATGAGTTAGAATTTTGTTCTACATTTATCTCCAGCTCTGTCCAGGACCCTCTATTGTGATACCTATCAGAGAAGTCAGTTGTGGTAGCCGGGCACCATCTAGTTGTGGGGGCTCCGTCTGGTGGAGGCTGTGGTAGTTGTGGTCCATTAGTCCTTTGGACTAATCTTTCCCTTGTCTTTGGTTTTCTTCATTCTCCCTCAAAGCTGGACTCTTGATCTTCCTGCTCAGAACGATCCTTCTTCAGGCTTCACCACATTAGTCAAGGGCTCTTTCACTCCTTCATGACTGTTGTTGTTAGGTGCCATTGTGTTGATTTTTGACTCACAGTGAACCCATGTATCAGAGTAGAACTGCCCCATAAGGTTTTCTAGGTTGTAATCTAGTGGCACAGTGGTTAAGTGCTCAGCTGCTAACCCTAAGATGGGTGATTCGAACCCACTAACCGCTCTGCAGGAGAAAGACGTGGCAGTCTGCTTCCGTAAAGATTAACACCAAAACCAAACCCATTGCTGTCGAGTCGATTCCAACTCATAGTGGCCCTATAGGACAGAGTAGTAGAACTGTCCCATAGGGTTTCCTAGGCTGTAAATCTTTACGGAAGCAGACTGCTGCATCCTTCTCTCGGGGAGCTGCTGGTGGTTTTAAATGGCCAGCCTTTTGGTTAGCAGCCAAGTGCTTTAACCACTATGCCACCAGGGCTCCTCTGTAAAGATTACAGCCTACGAAACCTTATAGAGCAGTTCTACTCTGTCCTACAGGGTCACTGAGTTGGAATCAATTTGATGGCAATTTTTTTTTTTTTCCCTGGTAACCTCTATGGAAGCAGATCACCAGGTCTTTCACCTGCACAGCCACTGGGTGAGTCTGGACCACCAACCTATCAGTTAGCAGCCAACTGCTTAAGTGTTGCTTCACCACGGCGCCTACCCCTTCATTAGTCAAGGCTAAACCCTAGGTGTTATTGCTGACATCTCCACCATCCACCTACATCCAAATTTGCATCTTTACTTCTCCCCCTCCCCAAGCCACTATCCTGTCTGAGTCACCATTGCCTTGTGCCTGCAAAACTGCAAGAGCCTCTAACTCGGTCTCCGCACAACTACTCCCAAGTGCCTTTCAAGCTATGCACCCAGGGCAGCCTTCTAGGAACCCAAATTTGATATTTCCCTGATGAAAATGGTTTCCCATTACTATCAATATAAAATCCAAATTCATTATGTAGTGCTACCTGCCTACTCCCTGCTCACCTCTCACCCCCAACTCTGCTCTTTCCCACTTCCACATCTGGGACTTTCTGCCTATAATTTTCTTCCACTTCACTCTTTCCCCACATTCTGGGCCCGCACAACTCCTAATCCTCATTGGTTTCTCAGCCTAAATGCCAGCTTCCCAAGGAGGTCCTGCCCTCGCTCCTCACCCTACATTAACCAAAACCAAACTAGTTGCTGTCGAGTCGAATCCAACTTGTGACAATCCCATGTGTGTCAGAGAACTGTGCTCCATAGAGTTTTCAATGGCTGACTTTTCAGAAGTAGACTGCCAGGCCTTTCTTCTGGGGCACCTCTGGGTGGACTTGAACCTCCAATCTTTTGGCTAGCAGCTGAGCATATTAACTGTGTACACCACCAGGGACTCCTCACTGTACATTGCTGTTGGCTGCCATTGAATCAGCCCTGACTCATGGTAACCTCATGCATAATGGGATCACACCATTGTGATCCATAAGGTTTTCATCGGTTTCTTTTGCAGAAGTTCATCAGGCCTTTTTTCCTGGACTGTTTTAGTGTGAAAGCTCTGCTGAAACCTGTTCAGCATCATAGTTACACACAAGCCTCCACTAACAGATATGTAGGGCAGCACACGAGGTACATTGGCTAGAAGTGAACCGGGTCTCCCACATTGTTGTTAGTTGCTGTTGAGTCTATCTCCACTCACGGAGACCCCATATGTGCAGAGTAGAACTGCTCTGTAAGGTTGTCAAGGCCGTGACCCTTCAGAAGCAGATCGCCAGGTCTATCTTCTGAGGTGCCTCTGGTGGGTTTAACTGGCCAACCTTTCAGTTAGTAGTTGTGTGCTTGCCTGGGAATGGAACCAGAGTCTTCTGCATAGAAGGCAAGAATTCTACCTCTAAGCCACCACTGTCCCCTTCACCCTGCAATACAAACCAAACCAAACCCGTTGCCCTCGAGTGGATTCCGACTCATAGCGAATCTACAGGACAGAGGAGAACTGCCCCATAGGGTTTCCAAGGCTGTAATTTTTACGGAAGCAGACTGCTACATCTCTCCCCTTGCCGAGCAGCTGGTGGGTTTGAACCATTGACCTTTTAGATTAGCAGCTGAGCTCTTAACCACAGCGCCACCAGGGTTCCGTAAACGGAGGGAGTAACCCAAAACCAAACCCACTGCCACCAAGTTGAATTCAGACTCAGCGATCCTATAGGACAGAGTAGAACTGCCCCACAGAGTTTCCAGGGCTGTAAATCTTTATGGAAGCAGACTGCCACAGGTGGGTTCGAACTGCCAACCTTTTGGTTAGCAGCCGAGCGCATAACCATTGCGCCACCAGGGCTCCTAAGCGGAGGGAGTCAAAACGAAAAAAACAAACCCGTTGCCATCCAGTCGATTCCGACTCATAGGGACCCTATGGAACAGAGTAAAACGGCCCCATGGGGTTTCCGAGGAGCGGCTGATGGATTCGAGCCGCCGACATCTTGGTTAGCAGCTTGAGCTCTTTACCACTACGCCTCCAGGGCTTCGAAGGCGCGGTTCGGGTGGGGGGGTTAGGAAATAGCTTGCCTGAGGTCATTGAGCAAGAGGAGGAGTCAGGTCCTGACCTGAGTCAGGCCCCGAGTTCTGCACCCAGATCTTTCCGCCCACGACCGTGAGCCTTGGCCCCTTGGCGAAAGAGCGAGGGAGGGGTCCTACTCTGAGCCACAAGGAGGGTCTCCCAGAATACGTGGATCACCCATGCAGGTCGTAGGGAAACCACCCATAGGGATTAAGCCCCGCCCCCCCGCCACGCAACGAGTAAAGATCACAATCCGCTGCATATGCATGAGGGGACCATGGGCCCGTGATTTGGAGCTGCCCTAGGATGAGCCTGATTAAAAATTCTTCGGGCTTGAAGACCTCAGCACTTCGTAATCTTGTTCAAGCACGTAATGAGTCCTAAAAGTGCCGTTTGGGGTGGATATTGGGATGATACCTGGCGAGGGTAACCCCACTTTGGGCCATATAATCAGGCATCTGCTGTAGGCAGCCCGGCCCTGGAAGGGTCCTCGGCCGGCTCAACTAGAAGACGAAGGGGGCGTCTCCTCGTCTTCCTGCGGCGTCGGTGGCGAGCTGAGGTGGAGGTTGGCTGCGGCAGCGACGGCGACAGTGGCGGTGGCGCCTTGGCAGGGCTCGCAGGTACCCTGGCGTCGGCCTGCGGGGGGTGGGATGAGAGGCCCTCAATGCTGCCGTGCCGCCATGTTGTGCCTTTGGGGTCACCTTAGGCGTCGCCGGATTCCTCACTAGGGTTTTCCCTCTGCGCACCCTGGGGGCTACCGGCGGCAGGGAATTCCCCAGCTTGGCCTCAGCCTGGGCCTTGGGGGCTCCTTCCCGGCCCCAGAGCAGGTAACCGGACTCTAGGTTCTCCGTCTGGCTTCCAAGGTCAGCACTTGTCTGCCTGCTTCTGGGACGGCGCAGGTAGAGCCTGGGGGCGCGGGGTTGGAGAGCTCGACGACCCCCTTTTCGTCCGAGGGCCCCTGGCAGGGATTCCTGCTGATAGAGACCTGTCACTCTGTCCCCGCCACTTCAGCTGCAATTTTTTAATCAGAAGCGGCGCGGGGGAGTGGGGGAAAAGACCTCCCGGTCCGGGTCCCCGCTTTGAGGTCTGGGGTTTTAAGTTGACGCCCTGCTTCTAGCCGCGGGCGCGTCTTACTCCCTCCAACTTTACATCAAGTTTGGACACCTGTCCCCTTTCCCCCAGTATATATGGGGAGTGGCCCTCAAGGGCAGCTGAAGGAACGGAATGCCTGGCACACTAGTGGCCTGGAAAGGAAGAAGGGGGTGGGGAGAGTTTCTTCCTTCCTCCCTCCAAACCTTTAGTTTCTTTCCAGGCCTCCGTGTCCCAACGCTAAATGGTGGGTGACTGGGGTCTGCCCTAGGAAAGAAATGGCCTTTTTGTTCATAGGTTCGGATCGTGTTTTATCCCTTTCAGGGAACTGGTGTGTTGGGAACAGCTTCTGTTTGCCCTGCCTGACATGGTCCAACCATCCCGTCAGCCTTCCAGACAGCAACACCAAAGCCGGGTCAAAAAAAAAAAGGTTCCAGTTTAAACGCTAATGCCAAGTGTTAGCTCATGTTTGTTTTGCTTATTTGAATCAGAGACTAATTAATGTCAAGCAAATCTGTTAAAAGATTGAGGGTGGGGGACTGGTTGGTTTCCAGTGACCAGGTCAGTTCCATACCTGAAATTGGTCTTGCTAAGGTTGCTGCCAAAAACAGTTTAACCTTTTATTTATAATCTGTTGTTTCCAAGAGGAATCTGGAAATCTGGGCTGGGCTGTCTTCTTGTTGTTCTCCTATCTTTGAAATATATGCATTCCATTTCAAGTGTGTCACTGTGTGATATACTGAGGACCATGTGTTGCCTGCCTTTCTGACTTCCTGCTCTGGGACTGCTCAGGCATCTGAATCCTGCTGGGTATGGGCCCCATGGGAGGGGGCAGGAGGAGGGGAGGGCAAATGAGATCATTCCCACAGAAGATAGTGGCAGCTTGTCTCTGGGGCATATGGAGGAAGCTCGAGGTGACCAGGGAAAGAGATTGTTGTTAGACTAGTGTCTTGTACATATGTGGGCACACACACGTTAAAATCTGTAGGGGGAAAAACTAACGGCAAATTCAGAATCTCCCTTTGGGGTCCTGGCTCTTGAGTAGATACGTCAAATTTGAAAATAGATATCTCGCAAATGGCTCACAGTAAACCTGCTCCCTCTTCCAACCCACATGTAATAAGCTGTTGTTGTCCTTATAGCAGAAGCTCAAGAAACTTGCCTCCCCACCCCACCCCTAGAACATCCCTCTTTTCAATCACAGTCCACATACTCTACAGTTGGAGGTCACATAGCACCCCACACCTATGAAAGTCGTGGTCCCTAAACCCTCCAGGCTTAACTTCAACTGGTTAGGCTAAGAAACTAACATCTTTCCTGGGGCATTAGTCTCAAAGATCTCACCTTTACTGGGGGGTCCCACAAAACCATTTCGGTCTCCTCACAATTCATCTGCTCTGTCCCTGATCTTGTGGGGCAAAGTCTTGTGGGGGTAGTGGAGGTGGTTTGGGGAAAGAGGAGGTCAGTGGACCTTTAGTGCTGTGGACTAAGGGCTTTGCAATAAAACACTAGTCATTTTCAACTCCTCCTGTTGCTATTAGAATAATTGTATGTTACAGCTTGCAGAAAGAATATTACAAAGTGTGTTCGCAACAGACTTCTAGACATTGCACAGGAACGGAAAGTGAACGCATTCCTTCATTCTTCTCTGGTGGGCTTTGTTTGCTGCTGTAACATTAGGGGTTTGGGGTGGAGGACTGAAGTGAGTGGGGAGTAGACATTGTCACACTCAAGCCCACTGGGGTAGGCCACCAGGACAGCCCTTGCCTGAAAGTCTATCATCTCACTGTGCCACGGCGAGAGCCCTGCTGATGGATGGATGGAGGAAGCCCCACAGCTGGGCTTTGCCAAGATCATCTGCCAAGATCACTCCTTCTGAGAGGGGTGCAGGAGGTGTTCTGCCCAGAGCAGCTGAGCCCTTCCATGCTGTTCACGCCTGCTTCCCTGAACCCAGCCACCTTGTTACTTGGGCTGAGGTTAGATCCTCTGGGGCAGTGGAGTCACAGGCACACCCCTTGAAGGCTGTGAGGGGAGGGACAGCCTTCATTGAGCACACATATTGGAATGTGTTCATGATTCTGTGGATTTAATGTGGAAAACCTCAGAAACCCAGGCCTGAGGCCTGCCAACACCTGGACTTCAGACAGGAGGGGGTCTGGGCATTGCCTGGGGATGAGTCACCCTACGGCGAGAGAAGATTGCCTCATCTTTAGGCTGTGGTAGCAGCTGGAGTCACCCACTCCAGCCAAAGGAAGATGGAATCTCAGATTGCACATCCCCACCCCCGGCCCTGATGAGTCCTGATTGTCACTTTGGAGTGGCGGAATGTTTCTAGTATTTGGGGGTTTGTGGGGATATTAGTGATCCGTTATAGAGGAGAACTGAGGATGTGGGGGTGGAAGGTGCCCTGACCAGATTCTCTGGGCTCATTGATGGCAAACCAAGAACAGAATCAAGGTCTGCCCTCTCTCTGCATAATTCTCTGACGATGAACTTAAGTTGTGGGTGCCTCTAGAAGTTGCTGGTTGGGTTGAGAAGGTTAAGAGGCTTGCTTAGGGGAGGGAAGCATGATCAGGCTCAAGGGAGCAAGATTCTTTGTGTTCCAGAAATGTTTGTGACAACTGTGACTAAGGGATTTGAGGATGTGGCAAGAAGAGAGATTTATGGCTCTTCCTTGGTGTTGGCCCAGGAACAGGTGTGTAGTGACAGGGACACATAAAGCCAAGATGAGGCTGAACAGGCGGCAGGGCCATCTGGTGAGTCAGCTGACCCCATGTAAAAGGAGCCTTGACTCACTCAGGAGTTGGAGAGGGGAGAAAGAAATTGAGAGCTGAGCGGTCTGCCCACCCACCCTGACATGACAGGAGAGAGCACTGAGCCAGGGATCTGGTAAGTGTCCCCAAGAATAAGGGGGCAAGTGCTGGGAGAAGCAGAGAACCCAGTAATGGGGAACGTGAACAGAAGAGGATTCCCTGGTGGCAGCTGGCAGAGGGAGTCCCTGGATAGTAGCAAAGCCAGGCAGGATGCCCTTGTAGTGGTCCAGGTGGAGGTTATGGGGCCTGTAGAGTGAGCTGGGGGCCAGGGGGTGCCACACCACACCTCTTGTCCTATACTTCTTATCCAAGCTAGTGCCCACCCTGCCCAGTGCTCATTTCCTTAGGGCTCCTGAGTAGAGACCTGGAGTGAGGCTTTGTGCTCTGAAATGCAGATCACCCTGTTTGTCCCTAGTATCCTATTTTGAGGGCTAAGCCCACCTTCTTCCCCTCCTCCCATCTTTCCCAAAGTGATCATATGTCAAGGCCCTTTATCCCAGGATCATAAGTGAAGACACCTACATTTCTGTTTGGGGAGGGGGATGTGGTCCCTTATTCCAGGACCACAAGTGAAGGCACCCACCCCTCTTTTGGGGGAAGGGGAAGTGGGCCCTTATTCCAGGACAAGTGAAGATGCCCACCCTTTTCTTTGGGGAGGGGGGAAGCAGTCCCTTATTCTGGGACCACAAGTGAAGGCACCCACCCCTCTTTTGGGGGAGGGGGAGGTGGTCCCTTATTCCAGGACAAGTGAAGATGCCCACCCTTCTCTTTGGAGAGGGGGAAACCGACCCTTATTCCAGGACCACAAGTGAAAATGCCTACCCCTCTGTTTGGGGAGGGGGGAAGTCATCCTGTATTGTGGACCACAAGTGAAAATGACCTCCCTTCTTTCTTTGGAGAGAGGGAAGTAGTCCTTTATCTCAGGACAATGTTGAGATGGGGCTGGGTGTATGAGGGTCCCACTTTATTCCCATTTTGTTGCTTCCCCCAAGCAGCATGCCTACTCCACAGTGGCACATCAGACCAGTCTTACAAGTGTGTGCTGAAGTCGCAAAAGAAGTCACAGCAGAACTTTTTGGTGCGCCTCCACCACCCCGCAGGGTCCTGGGACACTGTGCGAGAAGGGGGAGGTACTGGTTTTTTATTTTTTGTAGAGGTGGTCCCTGTCCTCCAGGAGCTTACAATCTAGCTGGGGAGACACAACTAATGCACATTTAAACAATCAGTACAATTAGCGATTACCACACTATTGACCACAACTGCGTGAGACCAGGGAAAAGCAAGATCAGTGAGGGGCTGGGGGCTCGGAGAAGGTGTTTTAGTAAAGCTGGGATTAGTTTACTAGTTGAATAGGTCCAAATCAAGTGACACATTTCTTTGTGGTAGGATGGGCTTGGGAGGGGGTGAGGTAGGGAGCAGCGGGGATGGGGAATCGAAGAGCAAAGGCAGTGAGGCGGAATGCACATGCCGTAGGCAAGGGACAGCAAGAGGGCCCACTCTGTTTCTCAAGCGAGCTCAGCCCGCCCTCCTCCTCCCTCATCCATGCCCTCCAGTCCCGCCACGCAGGCACGCAGTTGGCGCCTTCTCTGCATCGAGATTTCAGGGCTTCGGCTGGTGATGTCAGAATGTTCATTCTGCTGGCTGGTGTGTTGTGCTTGATCTCCATGGTGGGGCCTCAGGCATGGCCATGGCTGCGGGGCTCGGATGGCGCTGTCCCGACTTGGTCCAGATCAGAATGCGGTGCCTAGGCCCAGATCTCGGGGTCTGCTCCCCTACCCCCCATCCTCCCGCTGCCCGCCCCACAGTGGGAGGGGTGCGTAGGGGTTCGGAAGGGATCTGGTATCGTCGTCATTGTCGGTGCTGCTTCTCCGGGGGGCCTACCGGCCCCTCACTGACCTTGGCACGTGCCCCTCTGGCGAGAGAGCACGGGGGACCCCCCATTCCTGCGCGGCACTGGCTCCCATGCTGGCCGAGACCCACAGGAGCACCTGGTGACACGGCCGCCCAGGGCTGGGAGCTGGGGCCTCAGTTGGGGGCCCGCCGGCGCTCCCCCAGCACCTGCCGCCCGGTCCGCGACACCGTGTACGCCAGCTTCTGCAGGGAGTACCTGAACACCTGTGTGAGAGACCCAGGACCTGCTCTTAGTGGAGAGCACCCGCAGCGTGTCTGCTGCGCTGCCCTGCCCGCCCCCACCTCACCCCGCCCCCTGCCCCGCCCGCCTGTCCCATGTAGGCCGGAGAGGCGGGCGCGGGCGCAGCTTGTCCACGAGTCAGGGCAGCTGGAGCTTTTCCAACTGTGCTGAGGGCTGCATGGCGGCAAGCTGATTGGACCCACAACTTAGGTATACCTCACTTCTCGCAATGGGCTGTGTCCCTGGAGGATTTCGAAAAGCGAATCCTACCCAGTAAATGCAGCATTCCAGGAACACCTTGAAGGAAATATGCGATTCCTGTGGCAAAGGATTCCTTTAGCAGGGAATTCTCCCTGAGAAGGGTTCTTCTAGGGTAAATGATTTACCTTTCTTCTGATTTACTTCTTTTTCACACAAAGCGCTTTGCGTCTATTTGATTATTTTTTTTGTAAAGTGTTTTTCCTTTTTTGGAAGCGCTTTTTCCTCTTCCATTTTTCCTGCGAAGGGCTTTTTCCTCTAATTTTTTTTAAGTACTTTTGTCCAATTCGTTTTTTAGCTCCTTTGTCTATTTTTTTTCTGCAATGCGTTTTTTATCTAATGCATTTTTCTGTCATGTGCTTTTGTCTGATTTATTTTTCCTGCAGTGCGCGTTTTTCTCTTTTTTTCTGTGAGGCACTTTTTTCTAATTTTTTTTCCCTTAAGTACTTTTTAATTTTTTTCTGAGAAGTGCCTTTTTCTAACTTATTTTTCGCCCCACACCCGCAAGAGCTCTTATTTTTTAAGAAAATTTCCCCGCAATGCGTAATTTTTGATGGTGGAAATTTTTCGCTATTTGAGTTGTAAAGTCGTTTTGCAAACAGAGCGCCCCGCCTCCCGCCTGGGGTCGAGACAGTCTGGGTGTAGCGGGTTTGGGTTTTCTTACCGCGTCGGTCGCTAAGAGCCTCGGCGATCGTCCGCGGCGGGCGCCCGCCGCGCCCTGAGTCTTTGTTCCCGGCCGGCCGCGGGCGCACTGGGGAGGGTCTGCGCGACTAGGAGGGCGCAGGGAACGGGTGGGGCGCGTGGTGCCAGCAGGGGCACTCGGGCGGAAAGGGATCGCGGCAACTGGGAAAGGATGGGTCTGGGAGGCGGCAATCGCGACGCAGGCGGGCCGGTTCAGGGAACGCGCATCGGGATCCCCTCTCCCACCTGGACCCCCGGTACACTTACCTGTAGCAGCACGCGGAAGATGTACCAGCCGATGATGAGCAGCTCTGCCGAGGCCGCCGCCACTGCCGCCATGGTTCTAAGAGTGGTGGATAGGTGGTCGAGAGCGGGCCGCTGGTTCGCCGAGGTCCACTGATCCCTCAGAGTCCGCTGTTCGGCGCACTGCCGCAGCCGCTGTAGCGGCGTCTTAAGTATCCACCCACCACCCAAGTGCGCATGCGCCTTATTGGGGGGGGCGCATGAGAAGGGGTGGTCGGGGGCCTTCCTCATTCGCCAGGAGAGGAAAAAATAATCCATTTGCTCTTTCCACACCGACCCCCGCCTCCCGAATTCCATCTTAGCCCCTTTCTAGAAGATTCCGCTCTGCCCGCGTTTGAATTTTGGTGTAAAATATACAGGGGTACCGGGACTCCAGGGAGGGTATGGGTTGAAGGTAGAGGGTGCACACCTCTCGGTGACGGGGCACCCTCTCCCCCAGCTCCAGCCTACGAAGTCAAGGTCTAGTGATGAGTACCGCTCCGGAACCCACCCTGGGCGTGGAGGGAAAGACAAACTTGGGGAGGGGTCATCTGCCCCTTAAAGCAAAAAGGTGCCCCTTCCGGAAGCCTTGACAACACAAGCTCCTGCTCAGCACCCCTTTCCTAATATTCGATCTTTTTTAAACCCACATCCTCTGTTTTACGAAGGTCCCTGAGTAGCCATTCCCTGATTCCTCGCATGCCACATTTTAGGGCAGGGAGGAGATTAGGATCGGCAGCAGCAACAGCGACTGTTGGGAGGGCACTGCCCTCTGGGCACAAAAGCGGGAGTCTACGGGTATCTACGGTATCTACCCTGCGGGAGGGATCGGCGCCCTTTGTGCGCGCGGAAGGAATGAGCTTTCTGGAGAAGCGATAAGAACCGCACTTTGGGACGGTTTTCTGCTGGACATGTCGCTTCAACCTCTGTCTGCCCCACTCCCCCAGGCTCCGGTACGTCTGTCTCAGCCAGTGCAGTTCTTTCTACCCTTTGCACTGTGTGGCTGGAGCGTGGAGCTGGGTTTCGCTACCGCCACCAGAGGATTGTGGCTACCGCAGCTCTTCTTCCCGAGCGAGACGGGTCTCTCGCAGAGCGCCTGTCTTGGCGTGCGGGAAGACCAGAGCGCGGTCTACGGGCACACCGTGCCGGTGACCCGCCAAGAACACCTTTCTAGCAAGCTGTTTGGCGTGGGGGCCAACTGGCACTTGCCCTTATGTAGATGGAAAATTAATTTTGATTAAAAACTTATAGAAGTGAGGTTCTATATAGTGCCAGCAGCAGATGGAGATTTAAGAGATCCAGGCGTGGTCAATTTGGACACAGTAGCGTGGTGGGTTTTTTTGTTTCTACATTGACTTTCGAAGAAGTTGGCTGGTTTTGGCAAAATGAAGCTGGGCTATTTGAGAAAGACAAGTTCAGCCCAGACTGCCATCTTAAAGTATCCGGTGGTACTGCCACTGCCACTGCCACTTACTGGAGCTACGGGGATCCATTGCTTTGAGGTCACGCTCGGGGGCTCGCAGTGCTCTCCAGCTGCTTTAAGTCACTGCTTGTCCGCCTGAGCATACCTCCGTGAGAGAGACTAGATTCCGAACCTGTTCCTTACCCCTTGGGGACACAGCACGGAGCCCATGGTGGTCCTGTGGCAACCCTAGGGCGGTATTGTGGGGTCTGGGCCCCTTGAGGACGGGCCGCAGCCCCAGGAGGCGATACATGATCTCTGTTGGGCAGGGCCCAGGCAAAGCCAGTCCACTGTGCCGGACTGTGCCAGAGCCTTCCCGCCGAGCCCCAGGAGAAGCTCAGGAGAGACACCCTAGGAGGTTTCCCCACGTGGTGACTTGGAGAGGAATAGACTTCCATGGGTGGGCAGGGAGGAAAGGGCATTCACATTTGCTGTTGTTAACCATGATCCGTTTTCCCAAATAAGTATACATTCTGTTCCTGTTTTTTTTTTTTTTTTTTTGTCTGTCTGTCTGTTTTTTGTCTGTTTGTCTGTTGTGTTGACTTTTCTCTTCAGGATCCCTGCTGCCTTGGTGATCCCGGGCTGACAGCCAGAGTGCACAGCGGCTCAGCTCCTGGAGAGTGAGGGTTGAAGAAAGCGGAGGGCAGCCGTCTGCGCCCGCTGGCTCCCATTAGATCGGTTCCTGCAGCGGTGCCCGGTGGCCTTGGCGAAGGCCCTGCCCAGCAGAGATCATGTATTGCCTCCAGTGGCTGCTGCCCGTCCTCCTCATCCCCAAGCCTCTCAATCCCGCCCTGTGGTTCAGCCACTCCATGTTCATGGGCTTCTACCTGCTCAGCTTCCTCCTGGAGCGGAAGCCTTGCACTATTTGTGCCTTGGTTTTCCTGGCAGCCCTGTTCCTCATCTGCTATAGCTGCTGGGGAAACTGTTTCCTGTACCACTGCTCTGATTCCCCGCTTCCAGAATTGGCGCACGACCCTGGTGTTGTGGGCACCTAATGGCCTGCCACTTAGCTTTCCAAGGGAAGCAGAAGACGGGAGGGGAGGCATTGACATAGGTCATAAAGCATTGGAGTTTAAAATCCCGCAGCCCTGCGGGTGCCACATTCCTGACGGCGCCTTTTTGGCCTGTGATGTTTATCCTTATAATGTGAATAATGGCACTGACCAGTGCTTTTAATGTAGAGTCCTATAGTCGTGGGTGGTCTTGTGGTTGTGTGTCTGTTCCCATCTTGATTCCGGCTGGCGGGATGGCCACTCCCCTCGCCTCATTCCTGCGAGGAGTCTGCGCCCATCCTGGTCAACAGCCCTGGGGTGACCTGGACAGATAAAATACCAGTCTCATTGTCACCTCTGGGACCCCTCCTTGTCAGGGTCTCCTTCCTTCCCTTCCCACAGTGTTATTGATTACTTAATCCCTCTCCGGTTTCCCTTTAGTTCTCTTCTACCCCTTTCCTGTTTTGGGGAGCACCTGTCTAAGACAGGGCTCACTTTTGCACTTATCTCGAATTTGAAGAGATTGCTGATGCCCGAGAGCCTCGCTTTTTTGCCCTTTTACCCCCTGATCAGCAGGCTAGACAGAGACATGTCTTGACTGTTTGTTGTCCACAAATCTCCACTATTTTCTCCACTTCATTTTTCAGAAAGAAGCAACAGAGAGAGATGTTGCTCTTTCACCTGGGTATCTGGGTTCATGACTTCCCAGCCCAGCCTCACTTCCCTTGCCCTTCCTCCTGCCTGTCCTGAGGAGTGGGGCCTCATTGTGTCTCCCGTGCATGCTTTGCAGGATTGAGGTGTGGTGTGTTCACATAGATCTAGCAGTCCCCAGCTGAGTGAATGGGAGAGTACATGTGTGTTGCATAATGGCCATGATCCCCTTGATAGGTGTTCTGGATATTTTTTTGGTGAGCCTTGTGTGTGTGTGTGCGTGCGTGTGTATGTGTGTGTGTACAAACGTGTGTATTCCTTTTAATGAAGCTTTATCAAACATGTTCTGATTTTGAGGTTTAGCAGTAGCTAGTTATAGTGGGTGCCGCTGCAGTTTTTATTTAGCATGGGGATTACACAGTGACCAGCACACTGGACTCCGAGGTGGTTCAGACAAGACAGAGAAGAGCAATGGCCATCGTCCTCGCCACAGGAGCTTCTTCGTTCCTTTGCACATAGCCTGTACCTTATGAAGAATACACAAGAAAACTTTGTGACTGTCACTTGCTTTTTCCTTTTTCTGCACTTCAGTAACAAGTGTTGGCAAACAAGACTTTCTCCTGGCCCTGCCTGCTGGGGATCAGCATGATTGTCCTCCAGTCAGAACCATCCATCTTTTCTTGCCTGATGGAGGAGGGAGGTGGGCCAGGCAAAGGACAGAACTGGAGGCACTCCATCTAGGGAATGGGACCGTGGGGCCACACTTGTGAAACATTTGGACTGCTATTCTGGAGCTTTTATTTCTGGTGTGTTCGTTGCCCAGCTGTTTGAAATGTTTAATAAAGCTTTATAAACTTTACTTTGTGGTTTTATGTGGCCACAGTCCGTTTGGGTCGTGGTGTTGGGTTTCTAAGTTGGTAGGGGGCAGTGGGTAGCATGGAGAGGCTGAGTCCTTGGCGCCAGAGTACGTTAGCCTGAAAATTTGATCTACTCTCTGGAGAGCAGATGGTAAGGGTGGGGGAGGGGCAGAAGGGGGCAGGCCAGGCGATGAGCAGGAGGGAGTCTGAAAGTTTTCAGAGATGAGACATTCGTGTTTCTCAGCTCCCATGGCTTTCCGCCTGAAACTATGTCCCTCCATAGGAGATTTGAGTAACTGATCTCTTGACAAACAACTTAAGACAGCTAGAGCTATAATCATCAAGGATTTTTATGGTGCTGCTTTTGAAGTAAAAATAAAATGAAACCCCTCATGGCATTTCAAGTGGAAAAATAAATAAGGCTGGCCATCCAACCGGGGGGCTTAGGGCGATGGCTGGAAGAGTGAGAGTGGTATGGTTCCATATCATCGATGCGCACGTGCTCCAGTGGCCCTGACCTTTGAGACAGTGCGGGGTAGCTTGTCAGGACCCTATACTGGGTGTCCACTTCTGAATCTCTGCTCCTTTCTTCTAGAAAGCACAACAGGAGCACAACCTGTCTAAGGCACAGGTCTCTTGTGAGAGAATTTATTGAAATGACAGTTGTGAAAGGACTTTGGTAATTTCATAGAAAGTCACCTGCTTTACCTAGATTTTTACTTCATTGCCATAAAGCTGTGTGTAGTTTTCTCCTAATCTTTTAAATCTCCCTATCGGTTTATCCGCTTTTTCATTCCTAGCATTGCTTATTGGTGCTTTTTCTTTTCTTCATCAAACTTTGCCAAAGATTTGTCTATTTTAGAGGTATTTTCAAAGAACCAAACTTCTCTTAATCACATTTGCAGAGAATTTTTCCTATTTGACTATTTTTTGCTTTTATCTCTGAATCTTTCTTTTCTGGCTCTATTTTGTGGTTCCACAAAATCTTCATAAGCTTAGGAGTCATACACATGGAAGGGATGGTTTGTTTAGCAAACATTGAGACCTTGTATACTAGGCTTACTGAGGATTTCAGGGGCAAGACCCAGGCCTGACATGCCAGGAACTCATGATTCTCTAGCCTAGTGGGAAGACTTAAGAAAACAGACTATTGCAAATTCCAAAAACAAAACAAACAAATAAGGCTTTTGTGGCCCCATTCTCCTGTGGAGACACCTGGATGATAAATGAAGCCAAGATTATTGCTTATCTTGCTCTCCCTCAGAAAGCAACTTTCTGTCTTAGGTCAAGCCTGCTTAGGAGTCACAAACGGACCTCCCTCCAAAAGATTTGTGGCCCTTTCCAGCAGGGAGCTTGCAGCCTACCCCCTCCCAAAGTGACTGCCAGTTAAGCATTCTGTCTACCCAACTGCTTTCTGCCTTGTCAAGGCAGTACCATCAGCACCCCACCCCCTGGCTTCCTGGTCATTGCTTGCGTTTCAGGAAAGTGAAAAGTAGATACTTCTTCTGGAAAAGAGTAGGGGTACCCAGGCTTATAAAAGTTACATGCTGCAATAACATTGGTCACTGTGGTGCAGTGTGAAAATGGTTGCTCAGATGATGCTCAGTAACCACAAGACGCCATGAGGCCTAAGCCCAGGCTTCTTTAGGAACTGCCCCCTGCCCTGCTCTGGGCCTTAGTTTCCTTATAGAGAAAACGTGGTCTTTGGAGCAAATACAGTCTTTCTCTTGGTATATTGGGAAAGGGACTCAAACATTGGACGGGAGTGGATACAGAGGACAGTCTAGGATCAAAGAACCCTGAGATGTGAGACTTTAGGGAGCCCTAGACTTTATGCCCTTGCCTTTGTGACCTCACTTGAGTCTCAGTTTCCTCACCTGTAAAATGGAGATCATGACACCCACCATAACATCTGTCTCAAGGCGAAGACTCCATAAGTTTTATTCTATGGCCTCCCACCACTGGCCCTTAAGAGGCTCAAGCCTCTTAGGGATGCTATCTGATCATCCAACTTGCTCACTCATTCATGCAAGGAGTATTTGCCAGGCCCTGTGCCAAGCTCTAAGAATCTGAGGCAGAGTAAGACCTTGCCCTCCTTGAGTTCAGATCAACAGGAGGGAGGGCACTGAGGCAGTCTTGTAGGCAGATAATTACAATACCGTGTTATCAAGGCTGAATTGGAGTTAGATGAGAGATCATTTGGGAGGGCATATGTCAGCACCTTAGTGTGAATTCCCTGAATTATTTTTTACATCTGGAATTATGATATCCTGAAAGGGAGAGGAACCCCAAGGCATAGCTTTTTCCTGGGAGGCCAATGCCCTGGTTTCAAATCCCTGCTTGACCAACAGCTTGTCCAGTGACCCTCTGTAGATATTTCTTCCTTAGGGATAATCCCTGTCTGTCCAGCCTCCTGCCCATGAAGAACCAGCGCAGGGATGTGCTTGGAGTGCTTTGTCAGATACAAGCTGGACATGACCCTTTTCCAAGGACTAATCCTCTCGGTGCTTCTGACCTCTCACTTCCTTTTTTCCTGGATGGCTTGTGGAGAGGCTGCACTTGGGCAGCTTACCAACACTCTGGCAACCCCCTGCCCCACACTGTTGGTGGCCCTCCAAGGAAGAGTCAGGGATACGAGAGCTAAGACCCTGGGGCTGATACCCACCCATTTCTTGGCTGACCTTGCTCTCCTCTGCTCTCTTGTCTCCAGGCCTCTGTTTCCTCATCTAAAAGCCAAGGAGGGAGTGGGAACAGGAGTCTTTAATGTTGCCAAAGCCATCTTCTGTGAAACTGTAGTGAACTTGATCCTTTTTACTGTAGTCTTAGAGATATTAGTTGGAAGAAAGTGTGTTAAGACAGTCAGGTGTTTTAATCACACGATTTTTTGCATTGAGAATACACTTTAAGCCTCTTGAATACAGAACTGTCGAGAATCTTAGAGCCATGGCAGACTTGGAAGGGTCTATGAGGGAGGAAGCCTTCGGTGGCTTCCTGTTTGGCCTGTTGTTCCAACTCCTTAGCTTGACCATCAGGGCCCTACACAACACTTGAGGGCAAGGGCTTGGTCTTTGTCCCTTGACCAGGCTCAGAACCTGCCTGACCAGGCCTGGCACAGTACATGCTGGTTGACTGCCCATGTGGGTGGATGGATGGATGATGGATGGTTCAGTCAGTCAATCAATCTTGACTCCCTAAGTAGTTGGGTGACCAAGTCTTTCCTAGGAAGAGAGGAAGTCAGTTTTCCTCCTTAGCTTTCTCTTGGCAACACTTCAGATTATTTTCCAACCTACAGACTAATGTTTGGAACAAAGTTATGACAGGGAGGAACTTTGTAAAAAGGCTGCATAGCCTAGGCTCCTCACTGTGGTAATGTTCCACATGCAGTTCAAGAGTGGCCCAGCCAGATGGTGGATACACTTTAAGACCTGGATGTAGGTGGGTCCCCAACTTGCTTGTAGGCTGACAGGGTTTCCTCTTTTCCCCTCTCTCCACCTATCCCCCACCCCAGCTCCAGCATATGTGGGACTTCCCAGACATTTCTACTTTTCTGAGAGCCTGCCTGTACCCTGGCAAGCGGGTGAGCGAGCAGGAGTACAGGGCACAGACCACTGCTCTGTTTCACAGAAAGCCTGCTGAAGTTCAAGGGTTCTCAGCTAGGCCAGGCTGGCCCTTAATTCCTGAGCTCTGACCACAAACTGGTTAGTCCTCTGTATTGCTCATTTTTTTCCATCATAGATTGTGAGCATCCTTTTTAGGGTTACAGTCTCAGAACTCTCTCCCCACACTCCACTCTACTACAACACACACCCATGTGAGCACATATGACTGAGCTTCAAGTTCTTCCTATGACCCCATTCCTTCAGACTGCTTTGAGGAAAGACCCAGCCTCAGTCCAGACTCTAGACTCTTCAGCTGTGATTTACTGGCACTGTGGGGGGGTAGGCTACTGCTCATGGATGGGCTGGGCTGTGTGGGGGCTAATTTTTGGTGGTTGGTTTTTTTGGTTTTGTTTGTTTTTACTTACAGGTCAAACATGAACCAGTTCTTATTTCAGCATTTTGAGCTCTTTTTATGATTGCCATATGGTTCCATTTTTTACTGACTAGAATGTCAGGAACTAGGCACCACAGGCACACTACACACACCACAGCTACTGCAACTAATGACCCTCATGGCCATGTTCTCCTAATAGTCTTTGTGTGCAGCAGTGAGTAATGTTCTGAGCCAGGAGGATTGGACTGGGCCTCCTTTTCCCTGGTCATGGCAATACCACACCTCTAGTCTGTGAGTAAAAAAACAAAAAAACAAAAAAAACAAAACCTAACCCATTGCTATCAAGTCAATTCCAACTCATAGTGACCCTACAGGAGAGAGAAGAACTGCCCCATAGGGTTTCCAAAGAGTGGCTGGTGTATTTGAACAGGTGACTTTCTGGTTAGCAGCCAAATGCTTAACCACTGTATCACCAGGGCCCCTAGTCCTGTGAAGTCTACCTTTTAATCTTTCCCATGTTCACCTCCTTTTAATTTGGATCTAATCATCTCTTACTGGACAGTTGCACAAGATGTCTCTTTGCTTCCAGTCCTGTTTCTTTCAACCCAGTGTTGAATGGCCACCAGTTGGTCTTCCTAACCAGTGAAGGTCACATTCTGTGGCTCCTAGCTTAACTTTTGTCCTTCTCCATTGGCCAGAGGATGCAGTTCTCTCTGTTAATGGAACAGTCAAGTGTTTCACTGTCTGGTTCCCACCTACCCCTGTGTGCTCTGACTCTGCTGCCCCAAGCACCCAGCCAGATGAGTTTAGCTGTCCTTCCCTGAAGAGGTGGCTCCTTTCACATGTGAGTGAAGGAGATTGCCTAAAGGAGGGGGGTGGTCAAGGAGGAGGGCTTTGAGAAAGAATTTGAGGTCTCCAGCGGCAGCCACTGCCAACAAGAGGACCAAGAAGGGGCCATTGGGTTGGCCAGTTAGGAGCTCTTATCGTCATCCTTCTTGGGGACAACTGA